ACGTAAACAGCTTGTTTCGCGGGGATTCCCGCGTCGGGTCGTTGGTTTTGAGTAAAAAATTATCTCGTCCGTGACCAAAAAACGAGAAGATGCAAGTAAAACTAAATGATAAAAATTTCTTGGTCAGAGTGAGGATTGAAGCTAGGTCATTCGCATGGAAATCAGGGTTCTACCACACAGCCACACGTCTGCTTGGAAATGCAATGAAAACAACGTCAATGATCAACAAACACACGCTTTTGTATACAAGCCTCACAATACGGCCTGTAATATCGCAGTTATGTTGCGTGGCGCAAGTCTACATTGCCATCGGGCGTCAGAACGTCTGATTATCATGACTTCATGGTTTGAAGCCGGCCACTCATTACAAAAGACACGTACGTTATACTACTCGCATACCACGCAGTGGGTCCATAGAAAGTTTAAAACTTGTCACACAAATAATTACTCGTGGTTTGAAGCATGCTACCCATTTTATAGAATGTAGCCATATACGAAAGCTTCACTGTGAGAAGCCACTTCAACTTTATCTGTCACATTATAGTAATCCACAATTTTCGAGTTCTCGAGTAACATCGTACAATAAAAAGTTCGCACTAAGTGCTTGAAATACGCACTAGAGACAGCTACGATATCGCGGTCGCGCTCAACTCTTAAAGGCGAAGTTTAAGGATCCCCCCCCCCCTTTTTTTTAATAAATTGATACGTGTAAGTAGCAAGTTAATGATTTGAATTTACACAGCACATTTTGTGTCTGAAAGCTGTAAAATCAACAACTACTACAGAGGGTTTCCGAAGTATTGGTCAAGGTTTAAAAATATTCCTAGGAAATGCACACGAATGCATTCGAGCAGCAATATTATATTATTGCTTAGACATTTTCAAATGCTTTCTGTAGGGTAGCTTTAAAATATCCCCTAATCAAGCCTTCTGGAGAATCGCAAACACTGTATAGAGTACGCTGGTGCAAGACTTCTAACCTCTGACAGTCAGTCTGTGTCCTAAAATAAATCGGTGTTGGTGGCGTGAAGACAAGAAATCTACGGGAATCCATTTCCTTTGGATTGGTCTGCATTTCTCTATACAAGCACATACCAGGGACCGACCTGATTGCTGTATTGTTTCAACTGTTGCGTCAAGGTTATTTGTAGGGTATTTGTCATATTAAAGCGAGGACAAGCACGGCCGATTTCGCAACTAGCCACCCATTAAAACTTATCTTCGCTGGATGAGGTGCCCTTCAGAATAGCGCTTTTCTGATAACTATATCAGTACAAAATAAGCTTCCGGAGATCGCCTTTCAAGCACCTGATATCCAGCTGCACCTATAACAATTGATGTGATGTAATGCTCGATATAGGTGTTATCACTGTGTATGCTTCGGTGGTCGCTATCTGTTTTTTTTTCTTATGCGTCGTATTCAAACGTAATAAATGCGAAAGCATGTCAAGAGTAAATACACGCAATGCGATAAACTTGCAGCAGTTTTTTTTTTATCAAAAGGGCACATGTAAAATGGTGCTTGAGTTACGAGAACACAGGAGAATGAAGGTCCAAGCGAACAAGTCCTCTCCCATGTTTCATCGATGAACCAGCTCCCGCGCTTTCTGCTGCCGCATTATATATACCCGCCAACTGGTCGTCTAACTTTCTGCCTTTCCCTTGCTAGCTTGCCTTCTCTCGGAATCCAGCCTGTTACTGTTTTAATGACCAGTGGTTGTCTTGCTTTTGTGCTACATGCCCTGTTTGTGCCTATTTCTTCGTGGCCCTCTTGCACGATCAGCGTTGTTACGAAGAGGTCGCGGCTGGTTATCGCTCGCAGACCTAACAGCATGTCACCGCTTGCACTGCACCGAATGGGTGAGTGCGAACCCGTTCAATGCGTCGTATGGTGTCGAGTTGTTTCGCGATTGAAACATTGCGCCACTGAAAGGCGTCCGTCTCGGCTTCCCGGATGTCACTGGATGTCTAAAAGGGCTCCGGCCGAAGAGATAATGGACGAGTGGGCGTTGCTGGAGGAGAGAGATAGAAGGAGAGAGGGGGAGAAGGGGAAAGAGGTGTCCCACTTCCGCAGTCGTTCGTACGTTATGTGGGCAAGAGGATTGGAAAACCCTTACATTTCCCTCTCTAGGCGGCGGGCAGTCTCGGAAGGGAGATTGAGCGGGTAGGTCCGCGCGTCTATGTATACTGGACGGGAACAGGACGTCCAGTGTAGTCGAAGAGTTTATCATCTGCGCGCATAATATATGGTGACCGTAAAAGGCGCACTCTCAAGTCTCTCAGCAGAAATCGCGAGCTGCTCTGACATTTGCGCAAAGGTGAGCGAACGCCTTTGTACTTTCTCAGTTTGCAAACAGCCATGAAACTTTCGAACAGAAGAAAGTAACCAGCGTTACGAAAACATGTTACAAAGCATCGGTTAGCAGATATTATTGATCTAAATTTGTCCCAATTTACGTAGTAGAAAACGATACCGACGCGAATGCGGCAACAGTTTCTCAATAATAATGACTCATGAGGTTTCAAACTCCACAGCCACAATACGATCATGAGAACGCCTTATTGGAGGGGTCCGGAAATTTCGACCACCTGTGGTTCTTTGACGCGTAGCTAAATCTAAACACGGGTATCTAGAATTTTGCTTCCATCGAAATGCAGTCGCTGCAGCCTGTATTATGATCCGTGAACTTCGGCTCCTCTATAGAGCACCTTGACCACTAGAGTATTTCGGGAGGTGCCGGTTACAGGGGTACACAGCAGTTCGACAGTTCACAAGATTGATCGGTATGTGGGGTTTAACGTCCCAAAGCCACCATATGATTATGAGAGAGGCCGTATAGTGGAAGGCTCCGGAAATTTCGACCACCCGGGGTTCTTTAACATGCACCTAAATCTGAGCACACGGGCCTACAACATTTGCGCCTCCATCGGGAATGGACAGTTCACAAGAGCTCAAGTGGGAATATACCTCGTAGCATATATAGTCTGTTAGACATATATGTAACCTTAGGTATCGCATAGAGGTAGTAGACACGTTTTCCTCTAGCCTTCCTTGTGAATGTGTTTACCTAGTTATGCTTGACGACATATTGAGCGCCAAGAGACAGGGACATCAGAGAAAGGACAACAGAGAGCGCACTATGTTGTCCTCTCTCTGATGTCGCTGTCTCTTAGCGGTCATTATGCCGTCAAGTTCCGTTCACCAATACGCCCCAGAAATGGCAATGCTATTTATGCTCTATACAGCAAGAAAAAAGCTTTCTGTTAAGATACGCGAACATTAACATCGAACCGATGAGATGGTTGGAATTTTCACGTGTGATTTATTTTTCATGTCTCGTGTAGAAAAGAGCTAGGTCAGCACATAGCAAGGTAATTTTGCGATTTCGCGAACAGTTACCTACTCGACTATTACCTAGTTAGCAGAAATATATCGTCCTCAAGAATGAACTTTCTATCTTCAAGTCTTAGAAAAAAAAAGAATGCTATCGTGGCAACTAAAAATGCGCTCGAACGGCAGCTGACAAACTGTGCGTGTTGGGTGGCCTGCATGACTGCGACCGTGAGAGTAATCATAAACCTGAACATATCGTGAGTTCGCAGACAGTTACCTAGTCAACAGTGAAGATTTCACCAGAAAACCACCGTCAGGTATATGCTACATCAATTGGACAGACACCACCTCTCTTCAATAATTCACAAAAAAAAAACACTGAAAGAATAAAGGAAGGAATACATGTATAGAAAAATAATTATTAATGAAGATATAAATAAGTAACCTAGGCACTGCACCCTTGGTCCACGCGAATGGAAGGAGAATAAATTCGTAGGAGCTTATGCTAAAATATAAAATAATAAATGAATAAGCGAATGAATTGAATAATAAACTATGTGCAACACACAAACAGCTTCACTGTTCATCTACATTCACAGAGTGGAATGACTGATGAATCTTATTTTCTCTTTTTCATCAAACACCATAAATCTAGGAAATCTTGAGTAACATCGCAAGGTTGAAGAAGGAACTCTCTAAAGTGCGGATAAAAGAACGTGACGTAACGGTGCATATCTAAACTCATACCTACAGAACTGTGTTTTTCTGTGAGCACATCGTGCTTTAGGTTTCTAGAACACATTTATTTTACACGATGGCTCAAATCAGAGCGCGTTTGCGAACGTCGACTTATCGAAGGAGCGCTAAACAACGCAACAAGAAAAAACATCACGTGAGCTCGCTCTTATCGTCTTTGTCCCGTGATTGGACGATGTTACGATAAGCTAAGATTACATTTACTTCGAGATGTTAACCCAGTGGTAGATCTTCCATTTCTCTTCAAGCAAATAGATTTTTTTTCTAATGAGAAGCTTACGCCACATCGACACGCTCCAGTT